AAATTCTTTACAAATTCTTCACAAATTTCAAAAAAAAATCTGTTGAAGCTCTTAATCCTCGAACACGAACTTGCAGCCCGACGGGAACATGATGTCCATCCGTCCTCCCACAGCCCGGGCAGCGACGCGGTCATCTTCCCCAAGCCGGCGCTGGTGAAGGCCGAGGAGGCGGCCGCGGGAGCGTACCCCAGGTTCGTGTTCGAGGATTACATGAAGCAGTACGTGCGGCACAAGTTCGAGGAGGATTACACGAACTTGCCACCGCTATGTCAGCTGTCCTCGATTGAGCATCCAACGGCCAAGAATCCGCATGTTTTGAAGCTCCAAAACAAGCGGTTGCCGTTTAGCAATTCCGTTAAAATTAAAGACGGCGAGGAAAGATGATAAGAAGGCAGGAGAAAAGTGACGCAAGACGAGGAAGGAGGGGTTTTGTTGCGTTTGTGTCTATCTTGTTCGTTAAATTAGGAAGTGCAGTTTCAGTGTGCTACTTTGTAATCTCTGTCTTTTTATTTATCTTTTTTAAAATATATATGTCTAAGAAGGGTAAGAGAAGGGAGTGGAGCCCTGTGGGCTTGACTGTGCATCTTATGTACCCAACAGAACCTTTCTAATCTTTTAACAAAACGCGATTAAGGTTTTTGTCTAAAAAAATATCATGCAACTACATTTTTACAGGACACTATCATAAAATAATACATTTTTTTGCTACAAAGATATTAGTATAAAGCAAACCTTGGAGTTCTTTTTTTTTTTGGAAAACATGGATTTCATTAGTTTCATTAGTGGGGACTTGGGCAGGTTGTTCCACTTTCAAATTGGAGCACTGGATACACTAAGCCCAAATTGTCTGTATTTTCGAGTACTCTCGTTAGCGTAGTCTCGATCCTAATTCCTCATATTTGGCTCAGCACAAAGTTACCCAGCACAAAGCCCAGCCCACAGACCTTCCAAGCTGCTACCACAGTGTACTTTCAGGTACTTTATTGAAAACACCTTTTGTTTCAGGAAATACAATTGCAAAAAAAAATTAAGCACGTCAAGCGATATGCGCCCTTCATCCCCATCATCTCAGCACCAAGACTTGAGGCAGGGCATCTGGCTGCACTGGCCGACCTCAATTTAGTCAAAATTTCCCACCCATTGTCCATTGACCGCTATGCTCGGCAGCAGTCGGAAGTGCCGAGTCCTTTTCTATCCCCATTTCTCCTCTGACTGACCGTGCAGGCACCGTTCGTCAGCCGACAGCGAATTGGTTGGTCTTGGCGATGGGTCTGGATCTGGACCAAATCTCCCTCCCTGCGCACAACACCGGGGGAGAAAAAAATTGGAAACCCGGCTGCAACAGCCAGGCGCTGAACCACACGAAACCTCCCACGAACGGCTGGCGTGCCGAAACGGGGCCCACGTGCGCTTCTCTTATACAGCTGTTCGGTTGGCTGGTTTGTTTCATTGCTGATTCGTGAAGAAGTACTGTTGGTTGGTTTGTGTGAGAGAAAAATACTATTCCGGCTGGAAATTTACGATCGTTTACGACAAGCCACAGCCAAACGAACAAGTTGATAATCCGTCTTTTTTAGCTTATTTTTTTAGTCAAAACAGTATTTTTATCTCACAACAAATCAGTCGTAACAGTGTTTCGCCTTTTTTCAGCGAAGCGAACGATGTCGAAGCCAGCAAAGTCAAGCAAGAAACTTTCAAGTTTCAATTCCCTGGACCTGTAACTGTAATCAACCTTGAACTCCGTTTGTCCACCCATGTGAGCTCACATGCCCAGAAACAGGATCGTGGAAACGGACGCCGTCGGCGCTGAAACCCTCGCAGCTGATCACGGATCGAGAGCAGTTTTCAGCTTGATTTGGCCACGGGGATCGATCAGCACTTCAGCAGGGTGCAGCCATCCATCGGTGTGTTTGCAGGTCAAGAGCAGCAGGGAGCCACGGCCGACTGCGACGGTTACGTCCTAGTGCCTTTGTTTCGTCTGCTTGGTAGGGTTGCCATGGTAGGTAGGCATGTTTTCGTCTTGTTGGACCATCTGATGGGTGGTACATATGTACACAGTAGTCAATAACGAGGGAGAGGGCTGGAGCAGTTGTGATCTAGCCTGATGTGAACGTGTTTCGTAGGGTCTGTAATGAAGTTGTTAGCAGTCCTTTCTTTAAACCTTGTTCATTCACCACCCTTTTGTGAGAGGTTAATAAGAAATGGTCACCTCAGAGAAATTACAAGTACTTTCGCTGTCGCTTTCTTCGTTCGTCTTCTGCTCGATCGGTGTTCATGCCTCACTGTATCGTGTCAACCGTGGCTTACTTTTGTGGCGAACAAGCTTGATTTTTTCCTCTGTCACTCTCAGGTGCCAGCCCGGCCCGTGTCTGTACTATTTTTAGGATCCTTTCAACTTCACTAACAATCTTGACGGCAGGTTTATAGTACTAATCTACTCGCCCTTTCTGAATTCTGACCCATTCATAGGGACTCGTTTTCACTACCGAGTCCATCACAGAACCTTGCTCGAAAGAATATACAAACGGTAGGTTCCAAGTCCAGAGACCACGTCTCCCAAAGTTCCAACTCCATAGCCCCGTGTGGTGCGATCCACGAAGATCCGAGATGTGGCACAAAATCATTGTTTCCGGATGGATTACTCACCTGTGACATTCCCAAGTGACAATCAGAGGTGTCCAAATGCGTGACAAATATACTACTAGAGGTCTAGAGTACTAGTATATATTTATGAATAGGTCTTGTTCGGCTTGCTGAAACTTGACTGAAATTGGCTGGAAAACACTGTCCTAGCTGAAATATTGTGAGAGAAAAACATTGTTTTCACTGAAAAAATAAGCCGAACAAACCGGATATGGGGTAAGCCGAACGGGGCCGTAATGAATGGTTTGGTTTGTCTTGAGGGTACAAAAAGCACGATCGAGGATGGCGAGACGGCGGTACTTAAATTCAGTTGATGACTGAATCAAAGGCCAGCTCCATGTGAAACCGAGGGAAATTTTTCGCCGCGTGTGATGCCATGCGGTCATCACTCATCAGGTCGTGCCGTGCCTCGGCTAATCAATTTGCTTGACCGGTGCTTCCCGCTTGGCTGATCCTTGTTCACGCGGCCGCTGATTTTACTGACAGCACCAAGAGCTCTCCCAAGTCCCAAAGCACGCAGCACCATCTACTACTGTGGCCCCGCCTTACCCAGAAACCGACGGTTTATTCGACTTGTTTTATCAGTTTGATCAGTATTTTTCTCTCACAACAATTCAGTTAGAATAATATTTTTCAGCAAGTTTCAGCAAGCCGAACGAAGCCTATGACGCTGTCATTTGACTAACTGTGGAAAGAAAAACCCCATCTGAATTCTTCCTATTCTTCCTCCAGTTTCAGTGAAAAGACAAAAAAAAAAGGTGGGTTTGGTATCCTTCAGCTCCTCAGTTTCGATCGATGGGGCACATGACCGTGGAGTGTCGCCATTGACAATACCCAAAGTTAGCATCGCATCGGCGTCTAGTGGCCGGCTAACATTGCTTGTCAGGTCAGAAGGGAGACGTAACTTGTCTTCCCGAAAGCCAGAATGCGCCAAGGCGGCACGGAAAGGATTCATCGAAAGATGCAAAAAGGGGAGATCACGACACGGCACCGCGACCCAGGGGAAGAAAAAAGGAGACAAGGAGAAGGATGGAGCCGAAAGTCGCTGATGAGCCATTCTTGGTGGCTCAAATTCCTCCTGCTCGAGCCCGACGTGCCCTGCGACGCCTTTTTCTGTAACGTGCGCGGGACAGGGGAAAACCTGGTGCAGGGAACGCAGAAAAAAAAGGGGGTGGGTGGAGTACGAACGAAGCAGACACGAGCGATTAGCAGCGGCACCACCACGGAAGCCGTGACGCGTCCGGCGGTGCGGCTGCGTGCGGGCAGCCGTCTATCCGTTCAAAGGGAAAGCTGCGTGTGCGTCATCTGTGCTGTCTGGCGGTCTGGCCGATCCGGCGGCTGCCGCCGCTGCCTATCGGCAGGACTAAAAAATAAGTTAAAATATTGTTCTACCTAATTATCACGGTAAAAAATATCGTTTTTTTAAAATCACTGCTCACGCGAACGATGATTAGTGAGAGAAATCTGCTTACCAAAATTAATAACCCCTAGTTGCCTAGATTGCAAATTTTTATAACTTAGATACCGTAACATATTTCGTTTATATTTGACAAATTTTATCCAATCATGGACTAACTAGTCTCAAAAGATCCATCTCGTGATTTACAACCAAACTGTGTAATTAGTTATTTTTTTACCTACATTTAATGCTCCATGCATGTGTTCAAAAATTGATATGATAAAGAGAGAGTGAAAAAAACTTAGAATTTGAAGGTGATCTAAAGACCTAAAGACCTAGTAGTCCCTCCCACACATCAGCCGGACGTGACCTCCCCTCCCCACCTGCAGCCGCGGCAGGGTCTGGTCTAGGCCTGGTTTAAATTGTAAATTTTTATAATTTGGACATTCAGCATGTTTTGTTTATATTTGACAAACTTTGTTTGATTATAAGCTAACTAGACTCAAAAGATTCGTCTCGTGATTTACAACCAAACTATGCAATTAATTACTTTTTTTATCTATATTTAATGTTTCATACATACTTATAAAAATTAATGCGATGAAAACAAAGTGAAAAACTTTAATGTAAACAAGGCCCTGGTACCACGCGACGTACGCCACGGAACGAGGCGCCGACCGAGCCAATACACCTCCCCCGGCCGGTAGGGGAGGGACGGCCAAACCAAACCCACCACTCGTCGTCTCGTCCGCACGCGCAGCACGCACGGCGCGGTGCCGACCGCCGAGTACTACCCCCATTCGCATTCCCCAGCCCCACCGATCGGATCGGCAAAATCCCCCACCAGTTCCCCACAGATCCCGGCGCCCCCACCACACAGCGCTCGCGCCTCCCTGCTCCCCCCATCACCACCCGTCGGCCCGGCCGCGGCGGAGCTGCCCCCGGTCGCCACGCCACGATGGCGGAGTGCCGCAGCCTCATCGAGTTCCTCCGCGCGTTCGAGCACCACCGCAGGGCGGCGGACAGCTCCGCCTCCGCCTCCGCGTGCTCCCGATCCAGGCGGGCGGCCTCCTCCGCCGCGGGGGGCTCCGGCTCCTTCTGCGACAGCACCCCGATGGCCGTGGTCGACGCGGTCATGCTCCTCGCCGTCGTCACCGCGCTCGGCTTCCTCCTGATCCCGTACCTCAAGCTGCTCTTCCTCGAGATGGGCGCGCTGCTCCACCACCCCGCCGCGTCCTGCCTCCCCGCCGCCGTCTTCTTCGGGGCCGCCGTCGCCGTCTCGGCCGCGGTCGTCGCGTGGGAGCTGCTGGGCCACCACGCGCGCAAGTGCGGCAAACCCAGGTGCAGGGGCCTCAAGAAGGCCGTCGAGTTCGACATCCAGCTCGAGACGGAGGAGTGCGTGCGCGGCCGCCCCGGCCACGCGGCGCGATCGGCGCTGCTGGCCGCGGCGGGGGCGCGCCCCGTGGAGCTCGGCGACGAGCAGCGGGAGCTGGAGGCCGAGCTGCGCAAGATGGCGCCGCCCAACGGCCGTACCGTGCTCATCTTCCGCGCTCCCTGCGGCTGCCCCAAGGGCCGCATGGAGGTCTGGGGCGCCAAGAAGGTGCGCCGGATCAAGAAGTAAAGGTGTCAAGGATCGGATGGTTACTAGTTAGTGCAATAGTACTAGTGCACTCTTGTTCCTTCCTCAATCCTCGATCATAAGTAGCTACTGCTAGAAAAAATATATATAAATCCTCAGTAATAATAAGTATAAGTATAGGGAGAAATAAACGGAGCACAGAACCAGTTATATGACAGATAGCTTATATAGACAATCATATACTCCTTGTATTATGAACCGGTGGGGAATTTGGACAGAAATACATGCTGTTTACTTGTTCATTCTCTAATTTTCATCGGATCCTGGATAACTGATACAGTAGCAACATAGCCAGTATCTTAGTCAGTAGCTGGCTACTCCTTTCGCTGCTTTTTGAATACTTGATTTTTGTCTATATATTGTGGTGCGGGTTTAGTTGCTACTTATCTGTCTTATTTGAAATGTTTTTGCTGTTGATTCAATGTTATTGAGGTGAAGTTTTAGCTCCTTGATGGTAGATTGACAGCCAACTCTTTCATTGTTGTTGAGGTGAAGTATTCTAGTTGAGATTGTTCTTTCAGCTTCTGGACACTCCTACTGTGAGCGTGGTAGGATTTGTGTTATACAGATACTCTTAAATTGGTACTCCAATGAACTTTACAAAGTTTCAATGTAATGATCTGAAATTCAACCATCAAGAGTGATTTCTGCTATGTTAATATGTCTTCCCTCAAAAGAAACCTTTACTTGATTACAAGTTGAAACCTACTTTCTATGAATTTATGAATAAAATGTTGAGTGGTACAACTTTATTTTAGCTGTGGAGTCCTGATACTGTCCTTTTACCCCTACCCATGCCTAAATAGTTGCAGTTCCTAATGTTAGTACATGTGCCTTAGTTTTCTTTTTACTTATAAGCAATAGGCCGATTCACTTTATCTTGATTATAACTGGAACAACCATAATCTTGAATCTGTGACATGTGCCTGTGTGCCATACCAGCCAGTCGAAGTGGTGCAAATTAATCCTCATGTACCAGTGATATTTCCTACTGTCCCGTGACGCCTCTAGAAACACCACAATCATTTTGCTATTTGCCTCTCTTTTTTTCTTTTTTCTTTTCTTTTTGCGCAGTTTGTTCTTTGCTTCTTTAGGCTGTAATGTAATATGGTCTGTTTTTCCATGTCATCTAACAATCTAACACTACCATCTTCTATCTGTATGCTTAGCATGAGACATATATTATTATTTATTAAATTCCCTTGTACTTGTGTTATGTTTTGGGTGCTTTCAGTGAGACTACCTACTTTTTAAGTTTTGAATGTTTTTTCATGTTCTTTTCCTGGCTTACCTGCTTTTCAAAAAATTTAGCGGCTCCAGTGTCATAAACAGATTAGCAGACCTTTGCAGAAGACTTCTTTTTTCTGAAACCACGCACACTTATAGTTGTTTTCTCCCAATCTAATCCTACTTAGTTGTCTTGGTTTCATAAACATACCTGTCATGTTTATCTGGTTTTCACTCACGTAATGTGTTCATGAATTAGTCTTTTCAGTCTTATGCAAGCGTCACACTTCTGGGGCTTCTACACTCTGTAAAAAGATTATGTTGTGGAATGCTATACCTTTTAATCTTTACTCCGTTGCGAGATGATCTGAAATGATAAGAGTATTTTGATTAGGGAAAAGTCAACCAAAGTACATTTTGATCTTGATTTATCTTATAATATGTTATCATTGATACAAGTTTTTTATGTCCTAAACTCGTATATAATTTGATTAATTGTTTAGCGAAGTTTGTTAAATTAGACTTTTCCCTCAACAAAATACGCTTTTCTTTCTGGGACAGAGTAGTAGGCTACGCTTCTCTTTCTGGGACACAGTAGTAGGCTAGTAGTAAAAGCAACACAAATGTTAACATGAAACTGTTTTTTGGGTTCCTTTGTAACTGGACCGTACTGTATGATTTAAGCTGTATTCTGTATAACTGAAACTATTCGAGCCAAATGATTTTAGTTTCGTTAGCATTACTGATTCTGTGAGTGCTCAAATCAAGTTCCGGTAAAAAAAAACAGGCTTTGAATCTTGTGAAATGGTTTCTCCTAACTGTTCAACTCCTTGTTTGTTATGGTTTGGTCCTCTGAGATAAAACTCCCTGCTTGTTTGTATTTTCTGTCGGAGAACCATTTCCGCTGCATCCGCAATCCTTTTGACTTTTAAAATGTTGGATTTCAAATGTCAGTACTCTTATGGACTCACATCGTGCAGATGAGATGAGACATCCTGCCCTCTTCTCACTGGTGCAAACTCGTTGATCTTCCATGGTATGCTTTCCTCCATGGTTTGTGCTACCTCATATATTCGTCAGCAGCAAAACAATTTTTTGATCTGCAAATTAACTGGACTCTCTTTGGCCTAAGATTTTAGGGTTTTTGAATTTTGATGTATGTTTATAACTTATTGCTATCGTTGAGGACATACTGTGAGAGTATGGACCGTTTCTTGAATTGTTAACTTTGCCTCTTCCAAGCTTGTGAACTACCAAATTTGCTATCCAAGGCTTCCTCAAAATAACTGCTTGTAGTTCCACTGGGGCCTCTGAAGTTGTACATCCTACTTTACCTGATGCTCTCATATTTCTGGTTAAAAAATGTGATCATGGAATAAATATACCTCGAAAACGGTACTGATTTATAATTAAACAATTGCATCCTGGTATCTTCATGCATAGCATAGCATGATTACACAATGCTATTTGACTTGCTCAACAAGTGTTTTGAGCTGAAAGACGATACAATGTGCGCAGTAACAATTTTGCACGCGGGCTCTCTCTGACAACAATATATGGGTAGTCCAAAAAGGCGACATGAAATTCGATAGACCTACTGCATCATCCTGTAAACGGGCCATCCTCTGTAGGCCCACAGAGATGTCTGTGTTCACGGTCTTTTGTTTTTGCAGGCTCCCAGTTAACTCGCTGACTGGATACTAGTGCTACTGTCTCCTCTAGAAGAAGAAGCAATCTACTATTCCCTTCGTTTTTTTTCTCTAAATTATAAAATATTTTATCTTTTCTAGATACACTAAAAGAATATCCCATATGTTGCTACAGGAATCACGAATGATTTAAAATAAAATTATACTACTTATATTAACAGATGTATATCATAACACATGATAGTAGATGGTGTAGTATGCTAATGTGGACAATTAAATACCCCTTCCGTTTCTTTTTAACTGTCGTTCTAACTTTATGAGAATTTAAACTTATTCCACTTTAACCAAATATATATTAAAAATATAAATATTTATGATACATAATTAGTATCATTGATAGATTGTTAAATCTATTTTCATAATAAATTTAGTTGGAGATACAAATGTTGCTAATATTTTCTTCAGATCTAGTTACACTTAAGAAATTTTGACTGACACACACCCATAGCGACACTTATATAGAGACAGAGGGATCGAGTACATGTTAGTGGATGATGCGACTTGCTTGAATGAAGACGTAATTGCATGTGCCAGTGGGTTGTCATAATCATATGCTAGTGGATGCTGATGCGGACCACTTGCATGGCAAGATAGAATGCTAGTGGGGATTGAAAATATAAGAGATATAGATATAAATTACTTTTACTATATATTTAGCCATAGTGTATGAAAGGATCAAGATGCCTAAGAGGGGGTGAATTGGACTAATTCTAAATTTCTTTGTAATAATTAAGTCCTACGGTTAGCCCAATTAACCCCTTGTGTCTAGAAAGTGTTCCTATTGATCTATCGCACAAAAGTTTAGCCACCTATGTTTCAATCCTACTCTAGTATGGCAATTCTATGAATGTAAATGATAAGAATTGAATTGCTCAAAGTAAAGAGAGAAGGAGGAACGCGGCGATGTTTTGCCGAGGTATCGGAGAGTCGCCACTCCCACTAGTTCTCGTTGGAGCACCCGCGCAAGGGTGTAGCTCCCCCTTGATCCGCGCAAGGATCAAGTGCTCTCTACGGGTTGATTCTTTGACACTCTGTCGCGGTGAATCACCCACAATCGTTCACAACTTGAGTTGGGTCATCCACAAGCTCCGCCGGATGATCACCAAGCTCCCAATCACCACCAAGACGTCTAGGTGATAGCGATCACCAAGAGTAACAAGCACGAACTCTCACTTGACCACGATAATCCTAATGAAAAGGATGGATGCACACTTTGCTACTCTTGATCTCACTAATGAGGACTCTTTTTGGGATTCTCAAATCTCAATCACCTCACTAGGACCTTGCTCTTCTTGGCACTCTCAAATGTGTTTCTCAGCTGTTGGAATGAGCAAAAGTACCCCCACACACGAATGGAGGAAGTATTTATAACACTGGATTGAAAAACGAACCGTTATGTGCCTCTGCGGGGTGACCGGACGCTCCGGTCATGTTGATCGGACGCTTCGGTCAATTCACCCCGAACTCCAGTGATCAAGTGGTGGACAGCGTCCGGTCAGCACTGACCGGATACGTCCGGTCGTGATTTTCCCTCTCTGGAACCTTACTGGAGTCGACCGGACGCTAGCCCTCAGCGTCCGGTCACTCACCTCTCAGCGTCCGGTCATATCCAAACGACTTCACCTTGATCAAATGAACTGATCGAACTCTACGCCAGCGTCCGATCACACCGAAGCCAGCGTCTGGTCAGTATTTGACCATCCATTCACTTCCAACTCTCAATCATGCGTGAATGAAGTTTGCTCCAAATGATCTAAGGGCTATTTTGGAGCTACCTAGTGCTAATTTGATAAGTGTGCACCACACCTAACCCACTAGACTCACCTAGGTCAAGCTACTAGTTCACACCCCCCTTAATAGTACGGCCAAAGGAAAAACAAAGTCCTAAACTACTCTAAGTGTCTCTTCAACACCAAACGACACTTAGAATTAGTCCATCCTTAACCTTGTCGTCCGTCCTTTGAAAACCGAAACGATTTCCATCGTAGGGGCATGACCACCATGATTGCCCAATCGATCTCCATTACCGTGACCTAACTTAATTGC